AGCATAAGCCTTGCCTTAGAGCGTGAATTACCTACCCCGCTTTCGCTTCCAGGCAAAACCAAGTCATACCATACGCCTCCTCGTCAAGCGGCCTGACCAGTACGTGCCGTAGTTTGGCATCGCTTGGTATCTCTTGGAAGCGAGGGTGGTCAAAAGCGAGGTAGGTTTGTTTGCCCCCTACTGCCGCCTCCAAGTCTCGCCCTCCCTCCCTGGGCCCAGACGTGCGCGCTCGCCTCGCGGGCACCGCACGGCGGGAGGAGCTCGGCGGGAAGTCTGGCCCCCGGGGGCTCCTCGCCGGGTCGCGTCGTGAAGACGTCGCGGCGGGAGGTGCTGTTTTTTTTGCGGCTTTCGGCTTCGGGGGGCCCTCGCTGGGCCCTGGGGACCACCAGCCAACGACGCGGGTGAAGTCAGGCGTGTCCCTCTACAGGAATAGTCAGGGACAGTGAAAACATCGGCCGACAAAATCAGCGCGGACATCCGACAGGTGATGTTGATGCAGCTTTTTGTCGTTCTGAAGGAGCAGAAGATCCAGCGGACAAGTGAACAAGATACTTGATGACAGTATACAACCTTACGCGACCCTGGAGTTGTGCTGGAAAATCGTCGTCTGGCCCGAGCTGCCAGTGTGGGTTCCGAAGGGTTTCGCCACGATGGTCACTTCAACGCTACACTCATACATCTGGATAGTGGACCCCTGTTGGAACACTCATTATCTAATGGAGACCCGACGCATGACCAGACTGACAGCTGCATGCCAGGTCCGCGCCCCATTGCGACGTGCCCACCAGAGCCGCCCGGCTTCGAAGCGACAAAACAAGTACCAGCTTGTGCCGGGCCAGTTGAGATGAGGGGGATCGGGGTTCACGTAACGGGGGTCAGCGCTATTTTTGAGTCGGGCGTGTCCCCTACAGGGGAATTTGGGGCGAAAAATAAAAAGTATTCAAACAATACCCCCCAAATGGACAAAAGTAGTCAAAACATCGTCCCCTGAGTATTTTTCGACTACTTTTGAACATCCCTCCTGTAGAGGGACAGACCCGACTGAACGCTAACGGGGGTCAGCCACTTCCTTCTAGTTGGCCCAGGCTTGTGAGCCACGTGGGACCGAACCCCTCTTTCTGCCCTCCGCTAGCCCTGGGTTGGGAGCGACTGAGCGGCTGGCCGGCCTTCGCGACAGGGCCCTGGCCGACCAGGGTTTTTGCTGACCCAGATTAGTGCGTTTCCGAAGGTAGGGAGAGAGGGAGTTACAGGAACGGCAGGAGGAATTGGCTCGATGAGCGTATTTGGGTTGTTCCTTCTGCCGCTGGCGCGCGGTCTGAATGAATCGTTGGACCTCGTAGGGAGAAGGAAGGAGAAGCGGGAAAGGCATGAAGAGAGTTGGCAGGCTGACAGTCGGATAATGAGTCGGATCAGGACTCATGTGGGGCCATCGTATTGCCCGGGAGTTGGTAGGAGTAGGGGTAGGAGTCAAATTTGCCAGGTCGAGCGAGTCAGGGGCCCCCCCCCTCGCAAACGGAAGGCGGTCGCTCACCGCCCCGCTCCCGACACACTGGCAAGGGGAAAGGTTCGCGGGCCGCGCAGGGACGGGAGAGGCAAAACTCCGGATGGGCGCGTCGGAGACGGAGCATGCGCCGCGTTGACACGGCACTGCCACCTGCCTTCACAAGCTGCGCGGCGCTCTGGCGAGGTCGGCAATTCGCCCGCTTTTTCGCGCGGCCTGGCTGCCGCTGCCGTCTCCATGCGCTTCGGCGAGGGAGCCATGCGCCGCACCCGCGCGGGAACGCCACTTCCGAGCGAAATGCACACGGAAGTTGGGCGAGGTCGGCAAGTCGCCAACTCGCGCGGTGCTCAACACGTTGGCGAACGACACAGACGCGCCGCGTCGGGGCGGGACTGCCACTTTCCTGCGAAGTCTCTGCGGCGCGGAGGCGATGGCGACATTTTCCAAGGGCTCCCACGAGGGCGCGAAGTTATTCGCGCTTCGCGCTTCGCGGTCCTCGCTCCTTCTCCCCCTCCTCCTCGTCCTCCTTTTCTCCCTTTGGGGGGGCGGCGCGAGAGCGCGAAGTTATTCGCGCTTCGCGCTTCGCGCAGCGCGAAGCGCGAAGTTGGGAGCCCTAGTTTTCGCCCGCTCGCGCGTGGACGAACATGCGTGTCACCACCCACCAAACCACCCCAACCCAACCCGAAGGCCTCCAATTGACCTCCATTTCCAGTGGGGGGGGGTCGGGGAACATCGAGAAAACACATACGGTAGGTTCGCGTCGTGTCGACCAGCGGCGACCCCAGCGCGGGTGTTCAAGGTTGAACGCCGCCAGCGACCCAGAATGGATCGATGTTGAACGATTGGACGTTGCGGCAGCGGCCGATCGTTCAAGGTTGAATGATCCCCGCGGTGTCAAAAACCAACGCCGGGGTCGACACGACACGAACCTGCCGTATGGAACCCGTACCCCCCCCAACCCGAAATTCGGGTCTTCGGGTTGGGTTGGGGTGGTCTGGTGGGTAGTCAGCGTGCGAGACATGTGCGCCGCGCCCGGGCTGGAGGCCAAAACCTTCCAGAGAAGTGAGCGCGGCGCCCGCGCGAGAGCGACACTCCGACCTCTCTCGCCAGGACGTGCTCCCCGACCCGCAGCGGGGACGACAGAAATGTCCACGCTGGGACCACCACCCACCAAACCACCCCAACCCAACCCGAAGTTCGGATGCAACTCCTGGGAGGTCAAATTCTGTTTTCGCCCTGGTCCGAAATCCGGCTTAATCCCGCTTAATCCGGCTTAATCCCGCTTAATCCCGCTTAATCCGGCTGAACCTGTTTACTCCGAGGCCCACTCCGGCGTAACAGCTTCCAAATGGGGCTTAATCCTCCTTAGTCTTTCCGACGAAAACCTCCCAGTAGTTGCCTCTTAGCCGAAGGCTCAGATTTACCCTCGATTTCCAGTGGGGGGGGTCGGGAAACGTCGAAAAAGCACGCGTGGAACCCTTACCCCCCCCCCACCCGAACTTCGGGCCTTCGGGTTGGGTTGGGGTGGTCTGGTAGGTAGTCAGATCCAGCAGAGCGTGTACAGGTCGGATTGGAGGGGCCCAGATCCCCAGCCGCCATCGGCCGGCGGAGCGGCAGGGTGGGAGCAGATACGAAGAAGGAATGGAGATAAGAGCAATGTGGGAGTAGGATACACCTCATGCGATGCTTAAGAAAACCTAAGTTTTCGGCCAGAGTCTCGATTCTTCTTAATTTTTCAATGTGAATCCCAAGATTTTGATAGAAGTTCTGGGTTTTATTCAAGTTCTGAGACTATGAATTTCTTAACCCATGATTTCTTAAGCATTTCGCAGGGAGTAGGATACGAAGGATGACAACGATGTGGGTGAGCGGGGCGAGGAGGTGAAGGTGGAAGAGGGAGGAGGATAACGGTGCCGAAGGTTCCCAGGGATGCCTAGAGAGCTTCGGAAGCATCCAGAGGTCGCTGTCCCCCCAAACCCCGGAGGCTTAGGGCGGCCTCCAGAGATGTCTGCAGGGCCAAGAAGTGGCAAGGGCCTTAAACAGGTGCAGGAGGAAGTGGCGAAGGTCTATGTTTGTCGACGTCAGGCGCGCGCGAGAAGAGCAGAGGAGTCAAAAGAGGAGGAGGATGCGGGAGGAGGAGGAGAAGCAGGGAGAGAAGGCCGTCAGGCGTACGCGAGCGCATGCTGTGGATGGAGTCACAGGAGGACGAGGAGGAAGATGAGGAGGATGAGCAGGAGCAGAAGGAGGAGGACCCGGAGGAGGAGGAGGAGGAGGAGGAGGAGGAGGAGGAGGAGGAGGAGGAGGTTGAGGAGGAGGAGGAGGAGGTTGAGGAGGAGGAGGAGGGATAGACCGTCGCGATCCAGTCGCCTGCGATGGGTGGAGGATTAGAGGGAGTATGAGAGTGAGAGTAGAGGCCTGAGATAGGGTCAGCGTGCCAAGTCCCAGCGATTGGCGACTTGTAACGTTTGCATCTTGTCCGTACAGTCGTGGCCAGCCACTCTGGATGGCGTGTTTTCCATCTGCTTTCGTTGTTCAATTGCAGGTGTGCATCCGTGGTTGCGGCTCTCCAGTTCACCAGTTCACCAGACTAGGAGGGTGAGGAAGAGAGGAGGGGAAACAGAGGAGGAGCAGGTGTAACAGGAGAACGGATAAAAGAGGAGGTGGGGATGACGGAGGAGGAGGGGAGGGCGGGGCGGCGTTGGCGGACCCTGAGATCTATCTGACGTCGCGAACACTTGCAACATCGCGAACAATCGCGACCAGAGCCTTGGACCCCACCTTTCTGAATCCTTTTTCGAGCCCGAGCGACCTGTGATGGTGCCGGGGCCTGAGGCTAGGCGAAGCGCCCAGCGTGAAACATCGGGGGGCCGCCACGAGGGGGATGATGACTAGAGGGGGGGCGATATCATGGCGGGGGCCATGGTATCTCCCCAGATTTCATGGCGCCTCTTCTTATTTCAATGCGTTCCCTGGTCCCCCCTGGTCCGCGCACATGCCTCGGGCCATGATTTGCACACACCCCTCTTGGATGACCCCCTCCCAGACGCCCCCGACAAAAAGGCAGCTGCTGGATCTCGGGGGAGTCTGGCGTACGGGGCCCAAACACATGCACCACCACCACCACCACCAGCACCACCACCACCAGCACCACCACCACCACCACCACCACCACCACCACCACCACCACCACCACCACCACCACCACCACCACCACCACCACCACCACCACCACCACCACCACCACCACCACCACCACCACCACCACCACCACCACCACCACCACCACCACCACCACCACCACCACCACCACCACCACCACCACCACCACCACCACCACCACCACCACCACCACCACCACCACCACCACCACCTCCCTCAGACCCTCCCTTTCCCAGGAAGGAGGAGAGGAGGAGGGGGGTGGAGAAGGGAGGAGGAATCGACGTGGTGGTGTCGTATATTCTTGGGGCCCGCGTTGGGGGGAGCACTCCGCCCTTCCCAGGGCGGCAAGGGCGGCAAGGGCAAGGACAGCTTCGGGTCCCAGGGCGGACAGGGCGGCTTCGGAGGAGGACCCGGCCCCGCGGCCCCCACGGTGAAGAGCGTCCTCCTCCTCCTCCTTCTCCTCCTCCTGCTTCTCCTCCTCATCCTCCTCCTCCTCCTCCCCCTCCTCCTCCTCCATTCGAAAACTGGAACATATACATTACCAGTGGAGGGCTGTTTTTCAATCCCAGGACTTTTTGAGGGTCGGGGACGACGCTGGGGTGGTGTGGTGTATACTTGTTTCCCCGATGTCCTGGGGAAACAACGAAAAATGTATACACCAGGGTCCCGTATACACCAGGATCCGTTCGTCAGTGCAAATTTCAATGCAGGGCCGGAAGAGCGTCGGTGTATAGAGTTCGATTCCCTATCCTCTTCCTCCTCCTCCTCCTCCTCCTCCTCCTCTTCCTCCTCCTGCTCTTCCTCTTCCTCCTCCTCCTCCTCCTCCTCCTCCTCCTTCTCCTCCTCCTCCTCCTCCTACTCCTACTCCTACTCCTACTCCTACTTCTCCTCCTCTTCAGGTGGTGCAAGTGCCCCGCGCGCGCAAACCACCCTCCATATGTACTGAAGTACGCACTTTCTGCTTACATCCCAGTTTTTCTGGCCAGCACGGTAGTCGGGCCTGCGCGGCCATCCTTCATGTCTCAGCTCAGGTTCTTGCATTTGAACCCCTTGGGCTTCAACAGCCAGGACCGCCAGGAGGAGGTGATCGTTGAGGTGATCGTTCAGACGGCAAACACCTTCCACGTGTGCGTGCTCGTGGGAACCTAACAACGTGCTCGTCCACAGGCCCCTCAGGAGAAATGGTGCCAGCATGGAGTTCTACTTCTGGAGGCAGGCCATGGGCGAGGCCCCTACACCAACAAGTCGGCAGGCATAGCGATGACTTTGGCTTGTGGACAACGAGAGGGACATATAGTGCGACATTGGCTTCCACCAGCAGCACTGTGAGGGCGGGGTCTAGACATCCGAGTTCGGCGAGCTGGATTAGATATGGCCGTCATAGGCTTTTATTGTCCACCACGTCCCCGTGGGCTTCTGGGCAAACCGAACTATAAGGCCACGGCCGACAGGTTGATTGTGTGGTTACGTTCCCTATGTACGGATTTAGTTCAGACAACTAGAGTGTTGCCGATTTTTAGTTTGGATCTAAATGATAGAGTGGGGTTTGCTCTTCGTGGCGGCAAGTGGGTCTACGCGGATACTAACACGGTCTCCGAGGGCTTGGGCACGGAAGAACATATTTTTGGGGGTGCTGGGGGGGCAAATTCGAGGGTTGTTGGGGGAGTTCGGTTTCGGCCTCCTCGGGTTTCGGGAACGAGGTGAGCCTACCGGGTCTGGAAACGAGAATGTCAGTAGCCGAGTTGATTATATGTTTTGGCCCAGCTGCGGCCGCTCCTCTGGCGCTTTCGGGCGGGTCCGTGATGCGCATCATGCGCGAACATCAACTCAGACCCAGCATACATCGTCGGGGTCACGTGCCGCTACATTGTAATGCCGATTCTACATATAACGGCGCACCGGGTCCGGGGGTCCGGGGCCGGGACCTCGACCACAAATGTGCGCCCCGGGGGGCCCGGAGGCTCGTCGGGGTTTGCCGGAGGCCTCCCCAGTCAGACAAGACGGCCCAAGAAGCGCCCAAGACGGCCCAAGAAACTTCCAAGAGGCCTCCAAGAGGGCTCCGAGATGCTGAAGATGGCCTCCAGACGTCCAAGGACGCCCCCAAGAGGCCCCAAGAAGCCTCCAACATGCGTCCCAAGAGGGCCCCTAGACGCAACAAATTGCCCATTCCCTTCGTAAAACGTACATTTTCAACAAAGTTGTCTTTTGGGCTTTCCGACGTTACAGGACGGCCCAAGAGGCGCCCAAGACCGCCCCAAGACGGCCCAAGAAGCTTCCCAGAGGGCCCCAGGACAGCCCAAGAGGGCCCCAAGACGGCCCAAGAGGCGCCCAAGATGGCCCAAGAGGGCCCCAAGACGGGCCCAAGAGGGGGCCCAGAGGGGGACCACGAACCGCAAGCTCGAGCCTTCCGCCCCAAGAGGCCGCCAGGAGGCCCCCAGGAGGCCCCTCAAGAGGCCCCAGGAGACCCCAGACGTCCAAGGACGCCCCCAAGAGGCCCCAAGAAGCCTCCAACATGCGTCCCAAGAGGGCCCCTAGACGCAAGAATTGGCCCATTCCCTTCGTAAAACGTACATTTTTAACAAAGTCGCCTTTTGGGCTTTCCGACGTTACAGGACGGCCCAAGAGGCGCCCAAGACCGCCCCAAGACGGCCCAAGAAGTTTCCCAGAGGGCCCCAGGACAGCCCAAGAGGGCCCCAAGACGGCCCAAGAGGCGCCCAAGATGGCCCAAGAGGGCCCCAAGACGGGCCCAAGAGGGGGCCCAGAGGGGGACCACGAACCGCAAGCTCGAGCCTTCCGCCCCAAGAGGCCGCCAGGAGGCCCCCAGGAGGCCCCTCAAGAGGCCCCAGGAGACCCCAGACGTCCAAGGACGCCCCCAAGAGGCCCCAAGAAGCCTCCAACATGCGTCCCAAGAGGGCCCCTAGACGCAAAAATTTGCCCATTCCGTTCGTAAAACGTACATTTTCAACAAAGTTGTCTTTTGGGTTTTCCGACGTTACAGGACGGCCCAAGAGGCGCCCAAGACCGCCCCAAGACGGCCCAAGAAGCTTCCCAGAGGGCCCCAGGACAGCCCAAGAGGGCCCCAAGACGGCCCAAGAGGCGCCCAAGATGGCCCAAGAGGGCCCCAAGACGGGCCCAAGAGGGGGCCCAGAGGGGGACCACGAACCGCAAGCTCGAGCCTTCCGCCCCAAGAGGCCGCCAGGAGGCCCCCAGGAGGCCCCTCAAGAGGCCCCAGGAGACCCCAGACGTCCAAGGACGCCCCCAAGAGGCCCCAAGAAGCCTCCAACATGCGTCCCAAGAGGGCCCCTAGACGCAAAAATTTGCCCATTCCCTTCGTAAAACGTACATTTTCAACAAAGTTGTCTTTTGGGTTTTCCGACGTTACAGGACGGCCCAAGAGGCGCCCAAGACCGCCCCAAGACGGCCCAAAAAACTTCCAAGAGGGCCCCAGGACAGCCCAAGAGGGCCCCAAGACGGCCCAAGAGGCGCCCAAGATGGCCCAAGAGGGCCCCAAGACGGGCCCAAGAGGGGGCCCAGAGGGGGACCACGAACCGCAAGCTCGAGCCTTCCGCCCCAAGAGGCCGCCAGGAGGCCCCAGGAGGCCCCTCAAGAGGCCCCAGGAGACCCCAGACGTCCAAGGACGCCCCCAAGACGCTTCGCGTCACCAATTTCTTCTCGCAACGATTCCTGGGTCTGTGACTCGACAGAACCTAAGCGCGCGCGAAGCGCGCGCGAAGCGCGCGCGTGGTTCTAGTGGAATATGTACAGCTTCCTGAACAAAGGCCTGGGCGTTTTTTTTTGGAACTTCGAGGCAATGCAATTCTCGGGGGCTCGTCGTAGTTCCTTGGGAAGGTGCCTCTGCTGCATTAGTTTTGAAGGGGGCTGAACTGGAACAGGCTCTGAAGAAGGGCATGCCAGACAAGTATTTTGAGATGTTTAACCGCGTGCTGAAGGACACCGCCGCTCGCTTCTTCAGTGGCACGTTGGCCAGCTGTTCAGAGTCGTACCGGGAGCAGGCGGCAGAACGCCGCGAACTTCTGAATCGGCGACTGGAGCTCCGTCTTCGGCCTGCGCAGGCAGGCTGCGCTCAGGAGGAGGGGGGGGGACCATTGAACAACTCAAACGATGTAGTCGTGAGCGCGCGCAGGTTGGGCGGAGGCTATCGGGGGCGGAGGAAAGAGATCACCGACGAGTTCGACGAGGCCTGGAGGGTTCGCAAGTTGAAAGAGACGCATCGCTTGATCAGGCTCCTCGCCTGCGCGGGCAGGGCCCCTAGAGGCCGCGACCTTCGTCGTCTGCAGGGTTCGCAACGTAGCGCAGACGAGTGGCTCGGCGCACGGCAACTGGCGGGCCCCTCTCGGGGGCATGGAGGTGGGTGAGATGACGGAGGAGGGGCTCAACATGGATGAGAAGGAGGCCAGGGTTTATTATAGTTCTTTTGCCGTTGAAGCCAAAGCCGATTCGGGTTCTATCGCTAAGTATCTTAGACATGCGCCGAAACGCCGAGCTTGTCCGCCTAGGTCTGGACCAGTTGAAATATGGGGCATTGACCCGAAATTTGGTTAGAGCCATAGCCGCCATGGAGTTGGCGCCGACTTCCCGCTGGAGGCCGAATCTTTGCAGTCGATCTGAGAGCGCGGCTTCGCACGTGTTAGAGCTGCCGGACGATCCCCCCCCTGCTGTGGAACCGTAGTTTGGGATGTGCTCTACCGAACAGCAGCTCGCCCGGGCCAAAGGGGAAATCGCGCTATTCATTTACTGGGTCCCGTGGGAGAAGCCCGGCTCTCAGGGGCCATGAACCAGCGCAAACCTAAGCCTCTGGGGCACTGCGGCTCCGGCATCTCTCGAGGGGGGAGGGGGGGGGGCGCCGCGTTGGCCATTCAGATTACGCTGCGCCGCTTGGGGCGAGTGGTCATAGTGCGTCCTGGCCAAAAAAAGATCTCAGCAATGCGCGTCCGTCGACGCCTTGAGAGCTACTGGAGCGAGTTAACTGTGATTCGCTGGGCTTCGAAGATCAAACTTTCGGGATTCGCCAGTTTATGTCAGCCGCGATTGCGCTTCCAACCCGCGACCGCCCTCTCGTAGTTCGACCAGCGTGTGGAGCGTTGATGGGGGCCCCGTGCACAGTGGGGAGTTCTGGCAGAGCTTGTGAGTGCCCAGTTGACGAGTGGAGTGCAGCCGTTCTAGCATCACTTGATTCTGAAGAGCGGTTGCGAGTCGAGTGTCCTCTAGGTAGTTTCGGAGAGGTCGACCTCAGTCTCACTAAGTACGCAGATGACCTCACGAAGCTTCACGTCGGCGGTGGCTCCGACGCTTCTCGATCAGACGCTGCGCCAGAAGTTATAAGTGCTGCGAACAAGCGCTCCAACAGGTTGCTGGGCGACGCCTTGGCCAAACGCGGGTGGGCTCA